TCCTCCTCACCCTCCCTCCTTCGCGTCGTCAGCATCATCCCTCCCGCTTCTCCTACTCCTGCTCCTCCTCCTCCCTCTCCACCCCTCCCTCCCCTTCCTGGCCCATCTCCACCTCCCTCTCCCCCTCCCTCCTCGGAAGACGGGACGAGAGAGGGGAGTGGGGACCCGGGTGCAGGCGTGGATAGGCCTGGGGCCGTTTTCACACGCCTGCACCTCTCCACCCCGCCGCGGAGCGTGCGGCGGGAGGCGGGAGGGAGAAGATGAAGGCCGCCCAACATGTTCCCAACCATCCTGTTGTGTGGGGTCCTCGTTTGGAAGAGACAGCGCCCCATGCATTCCTCCTCCTCCTCCTCCTCCTCCTCCTCCTCCTCCTCCTCCTCCGCGTCCCGCTCCCTCATCCCCCTCCGTCCTCCCATCCTCATCATCATCATCATCATCATCATCATCATCATCATCATCATCATCATCATCATCATCATCATCATCATCATCATCATCATCATCATCATCATCATCATCATCATCATCGTCATCGTCATCACCACCACCACCACCACCACCATCATCATCATCATCATCATCATCATCATCATCATCATCATCATCATCATCATCATCATCATCATCATCATCATCATCATCATCATCATCATCATCATCATCATCATCATCATCATCATCATCATCATCATCATCATCATCAATCATCAGCATCATCATCATCAGCATCCTCAATCATCCTCATCTAATCCTCATCCTCATCCTCATCCTCATCACATCATCACATCATCATCATAATCAGCATCATCTCAGCAGCATCTCATCAGCAGCATCATCAGCAGCAGCATCAGCTCATCATCATCATCATCAGCATTATCAGCATCATCATCATCATCATCCATCATCATCATCATCATCATCATCACATCATCATCATCATCAGCACAACCATCATCATCATCAGCAGCATCATCATCAGCATCAACATCATAAACATCAGCATCATCAGCATCATCATCAGTATTAGCATCAGCATCATCATCAGCAGCATCAGCATCAGCATCAGCATCAGCGCCATCGGCATCAGCATCAGCATCACCATTATCATCATCAGCATCATCATCATCTGCATCAGCATCATCATCATCATCAGCATCATCAGCAGCAGCAGCAGCATCTTCATCATCATCATCACCACCATCATCATGTTCATTGGCAGTATCATCATCATCGTCATCATCACCATCATCATCACCATCATCACACGGCTCGTGGCCACATGGGGAACTCCACCAAAGGCCCAAGCGGCAGGGTCCACATGGCGGCGCCGCCCCATGTGGCGCACCACTCACACGGATCGTGGCCCCATGGGGTAATCAGCCGAAAGCCCCAGTACCAGGGTCCACTTGGCGGCGCCGCCCATTTTTCGTGCACCCGTCACCCGGTTCGTGGCCCCATAGAGCTCCACGGAAGGCCATGGTGGCAGAGTTCGCATGGAGGTGCCGCCCCAGTTTGGCGCACCCTCACACGGTTCGTAATCCCATAGGGAGCTCCACCGAAGCCCCAAGCGACAGGGTCCACATGGCGGTGCCACAACACGGTACTCACAACTGCAAATGGCTGGGTCATTCGCCACGGTATTTTTTCACTGCGCAATGTCTTAAAAAAGGGAACGGAAGGGAACTCGCGAAGCACCAACTCACTCGCACAACAAGACGCTTCCGAAGATTGGGTCGGAACCGACACGGTCGAAGGATCGCGCCGCACCGCCGCTACGCCGGCGATGCATCGGCAACGTCGGGGTGGAGAAGTTCCGGTATCCAGATCGAACCGCACCGCCGATTGGGACGCACAAGGACATGCTAGCATCATGTGACATGTGTCTCCTTGTTCTGTCACAGCGCGGCAAAGGCAATCCGCAAGCGCGCTCTAATATCCCGGGGCGCGGCATACGAATTGTCCGGCGGCACGAGTCGGGGGAGGAAGGCGGAAGGCGGCCGCGGAGAGCAGGCGGTTGAGGAGGGCACTCACCGCACGAAGGACTTCGGCAGGAGTGGCTAGGGCGGCCGGCCGTTGCCGCGGCGTCCTGGCAGTGGACGTGGAGCGGCATCGCGCCCACACCCAAGGGCTGAGGCAAAGGCCGCAGGCGCTGAAAAGCGCAGAGCGAGTAGAACCAACATGGGAGGGGAGCGGCGAGCGGGCCATCTGAGGCGGGTGGCATCGTAGTGCTCGTCAGAGGGCAGGGAGCGACGGGCACTGCCGCAGAGCGGCGGCGGCGGGATGCGAAGGCCAGCAAACACGGGAGCCGGCCAGCGGCACGCTCGCAGCAGCAAAATGCTGCGAGGCTGCCGTGCTGAGCCGCTGCGGGCCACGCGGCAGGACTGCTGGCCGATGCGCCACGGAGGGCGGCAAGCAGGGCTGCCCAGCGCCAGAGGCTGCTGAGCACGGCACCATCTGCGGGGGTGGCGCTGGCGGCGAAGAGCCGTCACCAGCCGCTGGGAGCGCCAAGGCGACGACAAGGCGTCGAGAGGCGGGGAGAGGAACCCCACCCGGCTGGCGCACGCATCACAGCTGGGTGAGGCGGGGACGCCCAGCCACAGGGCCGGCAGGGCGGGAGCGCCCAGCTGCAAGAGCAGCGGGGCAGACGCGGGGGAAGGCGGCCTGGCCGCCCGGTGCCAGCCACACAGCTGGGAGGCCACTGGGCCGCCCGGCCTCGGAGCCAGC